AATCATGAAGACTATCTACGTTCTGAATGGTGGTATGAATATATTCATGAAGATTTCATGCATCTGTGAAATGTGAGTAAGCTATATGTTATATGGGGATGTATTAGCTCTTGGCTCCTCCAGCTAAGAATCAAAGACTTGATGAAAATAAAATATACATGTTTTATGATCTGAATCATGGGGCTGAATGAATACAAGACTGAAATCCTCAGCTCTTTTTCATCATAACAGACACTGCTCATGTCCTTCTGAGAATTTCCTAGATCAGGCTCAGCTGTTGACCTGTATCAGGCTTTCTTACAGCCTTCTTTAATCCTGGCTCAAGTAAAATTTAATATTCTGCAGATTTGGACTCTTCAGATTTTAGTTCTTTCCTTGCAATTTATCTGTGCTTGATGTAAAAACTAGTTGACATATAATTCCTCACAGTCAGAATCTATTGTTGTGTCCATTCATTTTTTATTTAGCTTTAAAAGCACGCTATGGTAGACTTTATAAAATGCATGCTGTTCTGCCTTTATTTATGTAGTGTTCATAAAGACAGAATAAGCAAAAATCTCAATGTTTTTCAATAATTCAGTTGTGGCCTTTACAATCCTTTTCTCTGCCCAAATTGGCCTCTTTTTCAATGAGAATGTGGTTATTCCAACAATAAAAATGATGATATAATAACAAAAAAAAAAACAACCACAAAACTTCCCTTTCAAAAATACCTGAAGATAGAACAAGCTTTCATAATTATTTCTTCTGTCTTTGCATCTGATGATAATGCTTAGATGAGAGATGTACTTTATCATTACTTAAATATATGAAATTAAGATAGAAGCTTATGACATACGTTATCATTTTATATTCGAGTTGTCTGACTCATGAAGGAGAACTTTGCAGATAAAATCAGGTGGTGTGATGCTTAATTCTTGCTCTGTGTTATTCTTTCACAACCTGGCTGTTGCATTGTGCTTGAAACCCCAAGAGGTGGCTAGATAATTTTACTTGTTTGCTCTTCTGGGCTGAAAGAGAAATACAAAGTGAGATATTCTGCTCACCTACTGTTCTGTGTTTTCTTTTGGATTTCATAGTTCAGTAGTTCTTCTCTGGAATATTCTAATGAGGGAAGACACAGTAAGTCACATGGGCCTTCTTTAGTGCAGATGTTTAATGAAAATGCAGGAAAATATCAAAGACATTGTTATTATTCGAAGCTGTATTGCTTTGAAATTCTGATCCATCCGCTTTCCATCCTGTACATGTTTTGGCTATTATTCTCATGTTTAGTAGTTGAATCACGGGTTATTGCTAAGACTCAGTGTTCCATTAAGCTTAAAGAAAAGGCCCTCTAATAACCTACAGCCTTGATGGCTGCTCAGTGGCATCATAAACTCCCTTGTTCTGAAGAACAGGAAGGCTTATCTCAGAAATAAGCAAACAAGTTCCTTCCCTACTTACCCCCAGCAGATTAAGATGAAAATGGAATATGTAATTTATAAGAACAATTTCCCTTCCCTCTGGCCTAAGTTGTTTTTTTTTTTTTTTTCTTTCTCCCAGAATCACCATCACCTTTTTCTTGCTTCTTCTTGCCTTTTCTTATGGGCTGCAAACCGTTCATTAGAAGGAGCTATTACACTGTACTCAAATTCTAAAACCATTACCCTGAGGTTTCACAGAATGGTTGAAGGAGAGAGAATTAGGAACCTTTCCAGGAGAGAGATCTGAAAAGTGGTTTAGTAATGCCTTCTATGCTGGAGCTTCTACTAGTTTAAGATGTTCTGCCTGCGTATAATTTAGGACTGCATGGGAAAGTGGAATATTTGCACCTAAATTTTACACCTTATTGCATATTCACAAAATAAATGTGTCCTTGAAAGTAGTGGGATGAATTATAGTTAGGTTTTCCTTTTGGTCATTTAACTCCTTTTGCCACAGCCAGAAGTTTTTCTTTAAGCTTACTAACAGCAATTCAATTTTGCAAATAATACTTAAGCTGATTAAAAAAAAAAATCAGTAGGTGACTGGGTATGGTGGAAGATTGATTTATGCCCCATGTCAGTGAAAATTCATGGAATGTGCTGTGTCCAGACAGCTTTACTTATAATCTTGTATGTATGCAGGCTTCTGAATTTTTTCAAGACAGTGCTTTGATATTTTCACTGACATCTTAAAAATAAGCCTGACATTTTGTCATCAAGAAATAATGGAGGAAGGAATTAGAAATAGAATAAAAAATCACTGGTAAATGAAGGCTTGTATACATATCAAACAGCAGAAGCTCACTGCTCATAAAAACTCTCATTGCCATTGAGAAAACACTGAATGAAACAGCCATTCCACCACTGAGATCTCAATCTCCAGCTTACAGGGACTCCTACAAAACATCTTCATAGAGGAATATGGATTTTCATCTTTATGACTGCCCTGCTCATAACCAGAAGAGTGAGAAGATATGGATATAAAATATTTGTGGGAAAGCTGGTGTGTAGTGTTCCATGTATTATAAGTGTGCAGTGCATAGCACTGGAGTACTTGTTGACACCCAGGAGGTAGTGGCTCCAGTATGGGCTGGATCTTTTATATGAGTTTTGCTTTGAAGTAATATACCAGCGGATCTGTGAGTTCAGAGCAATTGTCCAGTAATTAACTTGAAAGCTGTTGTTTCTGTTTGCCCTGAAGAGAAGATTGTGTGCCTGATAACTTTCTGAAAGCTTGTCTGCTTGTTGCAGTTAAATCAGGTGGCATAATAAAAAGGCTACTTTTTCCTTAAAAGATGAAGATTCATTGTGGCATTTTGCTTTTTTTGCAGTCCTAAAAATGTTCATCCAGTGCTATGTTGTTGTTGTTGTTTTCATTTCTTGTTAATCAGACTGAACAAATCCAGTTCTGTTCATGGCATCCACAGTGACAGCCACACAGACCATCTGCATGTTTGGATCCTTTCTATCCAGCGCGTAGGCTGTCCAAGTCAATCTCTACATGTTTTCCAGAAGTAGGAGTATTTTTGAACATTTAATTATTTCACTAATACCAGGCAAATTAATTTGTTGTGCAGAGGAGAATTATTTATTTTTCCTCTACTTAGTGATTTGCTTGTGAGCAGTTAAGAATTCATTGACTTCAAGGATAATAGTATACCATACATAGAGTCGTTAAATATTACTGAAACATCTGTGTCACACCTTCAAAATAAAATTCTTTCTCTGCTCAATTTTTAGAGGCAAAGTCCCAGCAGGGGGCTCCCAGGTAACACTGAGAAATCTGTGGGAGATGCTGCTTGCTAGTTGCTCACACTTGCATGATAGCTGTTATTTTAAAACTTAAAAAAAAAAATAAATTAAAAATTAAAAATCATCTTTGTGTTTTTTAAAAAGCACTTTAGGTAAGGCAGTTGCTATACTTTTTTGGCTCATCCCAGTGTTTTAGAGGAAATTGCTATTCCTTGGATTCAAAAGCAGACAGAGAAGGCGACGCTGTCTGGCTCAGACCTTTTGAAAATCAATCTGAGTGAGGTCTTGTGCCAATTTAGATTGAACTATCTAAGATCTAGGATTTTTTCTCCATTTTAGTAATTTTCTGCAAGCTGGCTAATTGTACATGCTGTATCAAGCAGCAGCAGCAATTATTGTATTAAGAACAGAATTAGCAGTCTCAAATGAAGAAATAATTAATACTTGATCCACAATTCTACGGTGTGTTATTCCCCCAACAAATAAATATAAAACAGCTAATTTTAGAGCTGTCTATTTTATTTTTTTGGAGAGCATGTAATAAAACAGGCCAGTAGTCACTTTTATTTCAAATAATTCTAACTGGGGTATCTTAGGATACAATCTGTGATTTTCTTTCTCCTCCTGTTTGAGAAAATATCTGACTAGATGACAGAAGTATTTCTTAAGGAAGATTTCTTAAGGTAATACTCTTGTACAGTAGTTTATTAGCTACAAAATCGAAATTGAGGTGTTTTATTTTCATAGGACTGCAAAGGTGTGTTCCAAAGACACTTTGTGATCAAAGAAAATTCTGAAAAAATGGTGAAATATTATTTGAATTAATTTGAATAAATGTGTGAAGTCTTTTTGTGTCTTGATTACCACTGAGAATATACTAATACTATACTATACTAATAAATACAGCATGAGAAATGCATAGATACTTCCTTTTGGAGAGCTGTTAGGCCTTTGAAAATGCTTGCACATTTCCTCCAAATTTACAGAAAAATCTCAGAGAGATGGACTTTCTTTTGTAAAAAGATTTTTCGTCAGAGAAAGATTTGTTCATCAGGACAAATTTAAAACATCCTACATCACCTACATCGCCTAATAGAATGAAAAAAAATTAAGATTTCCATAGCATACTTGCTCTGCAGATTCTTCATTTACCCAAATATACTAGTAAACAGAGCTGGAAGCAGATCACAGATCTCATGATTTATGCTTCCAATAAAACCACTTGATCACGCTGTCTTGCATAGTTTACAAATCCATTCATCTAAAGTTTATGAAAAATATTGCATGTGTAATCTCTTTTGACTGCACCCTCAGAAGTGGTTTTCAGAGGCTGTACTAAAAGAGCCATCAGTGACACAGATGTGATCATCACATAGTTGGAAGGCCTCAAAAGTGCTAAGGACTCTGGACTTCACCAAATTTCTTCTGCTTGTTCTGTGATGCATGGGAGATGTCAGCATACCCTCAGTGGGTAACTTGTCTTCTAGATGATAAACTTTTCATTATGATCTATAGAAATGATGGTGATACAAGAAAGTATATGTATTTTCTTGGAAAATGATCATTGCCTTTTTGGACCAAGCCTATTTCTACCTCCCTGTTTTAAAAAAGTTGGTCTTTGACATCTTCACATGGAAAGTGCTTTTGGTAGTTACATCAGTGGCTGTGAGTTGCTCTGACCTGTGATGAGACAAACAATGTGAAACCAGGCATGCTGAGGGGTAGGCAATGCTCTACCAGAGCTCAGGTGGATGCTGTTTCCTCATAATTTACCCATACATAAATGAAGAAATAGTTTGCAGCTGGCTTGGAGTCCTAGGTGGTTACTCTTGGGTAGGTTATTCCTAAGTAGACATTCCTAGCATAGTTTGAGTGGGTTTTACGTTGCTTTGCATTTGCCTATGCTTTTGTGTCTTCATTTGGGCTTTTGATAGTTCCAGTAACTCTGATGCTTCTAGATTCTTTTCTGAAAGATGATTTGTGGTTGTGCTTGTAATTCAGTCAAACAATACCCAGAACAACATAAATTGCATGTGAAGTATTGATATCCTTGTGTCTGTGAAGGCTGGTGTCTGAATCAAAGAAAACATTATCAGACCTGCAGTTTAAGGTAAGATTATGTATCACATTACCTAGTATTTCCACCTTAATAATGGTTTTGTAAAATAAACTTTTCAGTTGGTTCAGGTTTTGTCTGTTTCTTTTTTATTAGCATATTATAATGAATTTTGGCCTGGCAGTTATTAAAGCATGTATGTTGATACTAAAAGAAAAGGTGCCAAATAGAGAATGTTCTCTTGTATCTTTGGCGTAATTCATCTGTCACTTTCTTTTATTTTACTCAGGGACTTGGCTGTTCTCTAGACTGTAAATTATTCTTGCAGCTCCTTCTAAATTAGGCCAACAATATGGAAGAAGGAACTTATTAAGAGATCTGGGTGTATTCAGTGTAGTGCAGGTCTCTGTACCTGGGAAAATATCAACTGCCTCTCCTATGACTTTTTATTTACCTATCTAATGCTCCTATAACAGTAGAAAAGCTAGAGATTTTCCCCTTTCATCCTCCTTGATTTTGATTGCAGAAACTGAAAATCTTGGTTTGATTTTGGTTGTTGTCTCTGACTGCTATCAATATAAATCAGAATGAGGTTGCGTTTTGAGTAGTTATTTTTTCCCTCAATAGTAGTTGTCCTCACCAGGCTAGAAGTTAATAGTATGCAAAGTACAATCTTAATTCTTTTTTGAAATTATCAGTATCTTTAGAGAGAAATGGATAGAAAATAGCTTTCTAATGAACTGGGAAAATGGGGAAAATGTGTGTACCTCAATATGAGGTATGCTGCTTACAGTATGTTAACATACTAATATTCTCCACCAATATCTATCTGTAAAATAGCATTATATAAAAGCATATACTACTAATATGCACTTCTAAAAATATACTCTATAGGTGAAATTACAGTTTCTAGATGATCTCTTGCCTTTTTCTACCAAAAACATAGGTGAATGTTGTAATGGTGAAAGAAAAATTTTCTGTTGTGGCTGTGATGTAATAATATCTTATTCTTCTGGGTTTTTTACTCCAGTATAACTTGTTTTAATACCTGCTGCTAAATCTCTTGGTATTGAGATATGGAATAAAAGTCTTGCTGTATTGTTTCCAAGACTATTATATTTCTTTGTAAGTTGCCCTGTGTTTTCTGTAGTGTGAGATAAAAAGTCTTTTTTCTTTCAGTTAGATGCCATTGATTTTTATCGTTTAGAATTAATGCATTTATCTTGTTTTTTTGGCTTGAGTTGAACATGGGTGGTGACATAGTGGCCTTTTATGATGGAGTTACAGCTTGAGTAGATAAAGAAAGAGGAACTGATGTCATCTACCTGGACTCATGCAAAGGGTTTGACACTATCCTATACAATATGCTGGCTTCCTAACTGAAGAAAAATGGATTTGATGGACAGACCACTAGCTGGATAAGGAATTGGCTGGATGGTTGCACTGAGGGAATTGTGGTCAATGGCTCAGTGTCCAAGTGAAGACTGGTGACAAGTAATGTTCCTCAGGGATTGGTGCTGGGACCGATGCTATTTAATGTCTTTGTAGGCAATGTGGACAGTGGAGGAACTGGGGAGGGGCTTTTTGTAAGGGCACATAGTGACAGGATGAGGGGAAATGGTTTTAAACTGGAAGAGGGCAGACTAAGATTAAATACTAGGAAGAAATTCTTTACTACAAGGGGGGTGAGACACTGGAACGTGTTGCCCAGCAGGGTTCTGGATGCCCCTGTGCCGAAGATGTTCAAAATCATTCTGGATAGGGCTTTGGGCAACCTGATCTAGTGGAAGTGTCCCTGCCTATAGCAGCTTTATAGATTATCTTAAAGGTCCCTTCCAACCCAAGCCATTCTGCTATTCTGTGACAATAGATTGAGTACTAGTGTGAGCAGGCTGCCTGTTGCAGTGATGGCATGTCCTAAGAGGGACCAGTCAACTCTTCTAATCAAATCCATGAGGGTGTTTGAAGGAAAACTCAGTAGTCTCAAATCAAGACAACACAGAATCAATCCACAAAGCAGTGAAATATCACTGTACTAAAATATATGAATTCTTGGCTAGCAGTATTTGCAATAGTTATGACCTAGTAGACCTGCATGTGAGAAAGGCTGAAATAAGTCTTTACACTGAAAACAAAGATCGCCCTCTCCTAGTGGTGCCTGGCAAAATGCACCCTTGTGGCAGCAGTAAGACATGGTCTTACTAAACATAACAACTGGAAGTGTTCTGGTCCAGTCCTTCTCATACTTGTCATAGCATGCTCAGTCCCTCTGCTTGAATGAATCAACACCACCTCTAATGATGACAGATAAGTTTGTGTTTGAATATCAGAAGGAAGGGTGACATGCGTAAAGGTATCACAGAAGGCTCCCTTAGCCAATATTTTCTGAAGGACATGCCCATGCTTTTCAACATGAAACATTAAATTCTGCATTTATTATGTGACAATAATATGTTTCAGAAGCAATGAGATGCCACTGTTCTACTTGTGAAATGAATTAGGAAGTAGCAGGATGATTCTAGGGAAGAATTATTTATATCAGAACTTCCATTCGTAATACAGTGATGTAAGAATTTGAGTATGCAGTTCCATACAACCAATTAAATATTTCAAAGATAGACTATATCTATAGCATCTTACTAAAAAGAAAGGGAGAAAGAAACATCCGTGTCATATGCTGGTTTGAACATCTAAGGTTTTGGAAGAGATTTCTAGAGAATCTTACCAGAATAGCCAAATAAATCCAAAAAACAGTGATGAGAGAGGCTGCTAGCGCAAGAAGGATTACAGCTGTGTGATTTAATGATTTACTAAAGCTGGGAGGGTGGGGAAGTGAAAAGAAGACTAGTTCACAGGCTGCTGTGGAGCAAGCTAGAGGTGTGTCTCAGAAGCCACCGTCCCCATGCTGCAGGTTTGCACTTAAAGGGAATTTTCTTTGCCTTAAGATGTAAGTGGGCACTGTATTTCAGTACACCATAAAAATAATAATTGCTGCTCATGGGCGTGTTTGATAGAGACTGAAGCAAAATGTGTCAGGTATATAATACTTATTAGCTGCACTCAGCCTCCCTGGCATGTTTGAAAACGTTTATGTGCATTTACTTGTTTGGGCAATAGAATGAAAGAGTTGGTTAGTAATGTTACACATGATTCACTACCATGAATAATAAGCAGAAGTAGCATCTGCATTAAGAAACATAATGCTAATTCACATCTCTAGAGGGCAGAAGGCTTAAGAGCGTTCTGTGTCTGTATAAATAGATATGTGCACATCATTCCTCAATCTGTTGTGATCTAGCAGCTGAAAGAAAAAATATCTAAAGGAACTGTTTGTGTCATCACAGAAACAGTACTGTAATGGAGACATAGGGAACTGATAACATTTTGCTATATGATCTAAAACCAGTTCAGTGCATTCAGTGTATGTTTCCCTTGTTTATTCATCCGTAAAGTCAGACAATTAATCGTGCTTTATTTTAACTTAACTGTGTTGGAACTGAACATTGCATCAGTGCCAAACTGCTGAGCAGCTGGATGCAGGTAGAGTGGGTTATTTAGCATTGCTGTGATTGTTCCAGTTCCTGTTTAAAGAAGCTAATAAAATATCATATCTGAGTCTGAAAAGGCACAGTTAACTCTGGAGTGAAAATAGAAAATGGGGAATGGAAGGCATGCAGAGAAGCAAGTTTAAAGCATCCCAGAGGCTGACTGAAGGCCATGACTGAGTAGACTGGGAATTTGCTTGGAGCTCGGACTCCAGCCTGCTATACAATTGGGGGTTTCTGTCTTGTTTGAGTTGTGCCAGTCCAGCGCTCCATCTTCAGTAATGGAAGTTAAGCTCATAATTCATGAGTTTTGGTGGTACTCTTTGCGCTGTGTGCTACATAGAAGCTGGATGTAAAACAACATACTACAAAGTTTCTTCTCTACCTAGTAGGTGAAGATTGGAGCTGTGCTGAATTTTCTAACAGGCAATATTTAACTTCACCTCAGAATACTTTCTGCAACATCTCTCTTATGAGGAATATGTTGTCTGATATAAAATAAATTCTTGTTGGTGTGGTCTGAAGGTGATCTGCAGACTGACGGTGGCATGCTTATTAGTGTAAGGACAGTGGCTGCTAATAGATGCAAAATGTTCAGTGTGTTAATTGCCATTTATGGTACGAAACTTATTTCAGTGTCTCTTCTGCTTCTGCTCACTGTTACCTCTGGCTTCAGTCAGGTATTTCCTGTGGGACTGGAATGTTACACATGCTTTTGCTGTCAGAGTGAACACTGCTTGCCTGATGCATCTAAACAGCAGCCTTGTCTTAGGGAAACCACTGCTCAGCAGCTAGAGTTGTGAATGTGGCCAACAGTGCAACAGCAGAGCACCTCTTTCTGCACTTGGCTGGCGATGATAAGGCTGCATGTATGAGGAATACATGCAATATTAGTTGTGTTTGTGTTGGGGACGTTTTCAAGCAAAGAAGTGCTCTCATCATAACTGCTCTGCTGAACTGATTTTCAGTTTGATTGAAAGGAACAACAGGAGGTCTGAAGGGAAAGAGGTGTTTTTCCCATGTTCTGTTTAGCAGGTAGTAATGATGTTCTGTAATCTGTCAGCTGTTTCCTTATGGGTCTCTGGTTTACTTTTTTACAGCCGAAGCAATAGAACAGATCTGGCTGTACTAAAGTACCTTTCATGCCTTGGTAGAAAGTGCGTGGCCTTTTAATCTAACGAGTTCAAAAGAAAAATTATGATGAGCCAATATAATAAATAGCTTTTAATTTTTTTTGTTTGTTTCTTGTGAAGCTTGAGTTGATGAGTTGGAAGGTTCTCTGAGAGTACGAGGAGTGAAATATTTTGAAAGGTTGTGATTTTATAGACTAAGAGGACACATCAAACATTTATTTTTTTTGTAAGATGTAAGTTATAGTTCTTCAAATATTACTTTCATTTTGAATTGCTGCAGCAGTTTTTTTCTTTCTTTTTTTTTTTTTTTTTTTTTTTTTTTCCTTCCTACTCCTATCTTAGGTACAATTTTAAGGCACTTAATCTAGGTTTAATGCTTTTTTCCCCCCTGGATTTACTGAAATATGTTATCGGTTTTATGCTCTCCGAGGATTTTTGCTGTTGAATGATAACAGCAATCGAAGTCGTCTCAAGCAGGTAGTGTTTTTTCCACTGCCTTGCAGCAAAGCTATTTTTAACTTTAAAAATAATCCAAAGCTCACTCAAGCTCTGCAGCCATCTCAACATAATACATAATTTAATTTCAATTCAATATTTTGAACGTTATTACGTTATAGCTGTTCTTTTCTAGAATATATTTTCTCTACAGGTGTGAATATAGGTTGTTTTGTATAAAGTAGCAGTTGTAATGTGAAGCAGTGATGCACTAGATCAAGGCAGATTAAATAAAACCTATATTCAGACATGTTGATAATCCTCAAATAATTCATTTAAATTTATGGATGTCTTTTTATTCTCTACTTCAGACGATTCCCAAATTTTATATTTCATATCACTCTAAAAAACTATGTGAGAAATATTAGAAGAGTTTATCTAAGTTATAGTAGATTACTGGGCAAGATCTGTAATAAAGATCTCATTAGTAGCATTAATGTGCTCAGAAGAACTGAAAGAGACATTTTTATTAGCTATAGCTAAGAAAAGTAATTTTCATGACTCTTGGAAAACTGTTATATATGTTGTTGTGCAGTACCTGGAATATTTGCTGACTTTTAAAGCTGCAGTGAGGAACCAAGTAAAAGGAGCGCATTGATAATACCTGCACCTAAAATCACAATCCATACATCTGATTTAAAACAAGTAGGAAACACCCAGTACATACCGTAGGCCATAAAGGACTGTCCCATCTGGATGGAGCCGAATCATTCGGTTCTTCACCGTCACTCCATGGACAAAAGACTTTTTGTCATTTTGGAAATACGTGTCAGGCACCCAGAGCTGGTCAGCTACTCGGTTGTCCAGAGTTAGGTTTAGAGGTATTCCAGAATAAGAGAGCCTTTTGTCCCTCCAGGACTGCTGGAAGTACATGGTAAGGGTGTAGTCCTAGAGAAATAATAAGAAGGGTTTTTTCTATTTTGCATGTATGCTGCTTAACAACATAACTTTCTGTTTGCAACTGAATATCAGTAATGCAACAGGAAGTTTAAGGATCATGAAATTGCAGGGGTTGGAAGGGATCTCAAGAGATCATGAAGTCCAAACCCCCCTGCTTAAACAGATACCTTACAATAGGTTGCACAGGTAGGCGTCCAGATGAGTCTTGAACATCTCGATAGAAAGAAATTCCACATCCTCTCTGGGCAACCTGTTCCAATGCTCTGTCATGTTTACTGTAATGAAGTTCTACCACACATTTTTATGGAACATCCAATGTTCAAGTTTTAGGACAAGGAGCAACAGCCTATAATTACGCAGCACTGAGAAGTGCCTGGCCTCATTCATTTGCTTCACACTTCCCTTCAGATAATTATAAATGTTAATCAGATTTCACCTCTGTCTTCTTTCCCTCAGGCTGGATAGACTTATGTTACTCAGTTTTTCCTCATAAGGGAGGTGCTCCAGGCCCTTTATTGTCATTGCGGCCCTTCACTGGACTCCTTCTAGGAGATCCCTGCCTTTTTTGAACTGGGGAGCCCAGAACTGGACACGGTATGTTTTCGTTATCCATTACAATGAGTCTTAGCCTGTTTGTGTTAGTGTCTAATTCACACTGTTTGCCAGTGGCAGTGATTTGCCCCACACATCCCTGGCCGTGGGCTTTCAAAGCCTCTTGTGCCAGAGGGTCTCCGTTGTACAGGTCACAAGATCTCCAGCCTACAGACTACATTCACAGTCTCTTGCAAGATTTCCTTTTACATGAAAACAGTAGAATTTAGCCAATCTCAGTCAAATAGCATTGCATATTATTGAGAATACGTTAGTGTATTCAATGTCTCCATTCTGAAATATTCTACGTGCAATCCAGAAACATCAACACTCCTTAAATCTTCTGAGAACGAGCAAATAGAACTGCAGAGTGTATAATGAATAACTAGTCATTCTGCAATGGCTGCAGTTGTCAGTTGTAAAGATCTTCAAGAGCTGGATAAATTTCACTTCAGCCAAGGCACTGAGGGGCTTTCTGTCCTTGGCCTTTCAAGCCATTGCCCCGTAGGAAATGAGCATCTTCTGCAGACCATTGTGCTATATTTTAGGGGAAAAGCAATTTATGTAGTCCTTCAGCTTTCCAATTGGTTTAAAAATAAATTGTTTTAAAAAGTTTCTCGTCTTACTCCCTCATTGTCTTTCTCTTTATGAATTTAGTGGTTTTTAAAGGATGGCTTTTCCACTTGGAAAAATTGACTGTGTTCTTTATATCTGATGGAGTTCTTACATATTTCTGTTCCAGAAATTTTTTAGACTACCAGTTTTATCCTCCTTATCTTTCTTCTCCCCTGTCCCCCTTTTTAATTTGCAAGTCATTTTTTGTCACATACTTAGCATTAAAAGTGACATTATAGATATAGAAAAGATTGGTTGGGTAAGATTTTCTTTTATGTAAGGGAAAGCCTCACCTCTGTCAACCTGACCTAGCCTGGACTGTAATTTTTGAAGAAATAGAGAGGATGAAAGCTGTCTGATGTGTCCTCATTTTTATTGGCTTCTAAAGAACATGTGAAAATCAAAGCACTATTGTTACCTTTCAAAAAGCCTTTCTGCCTGAAATACTGCATCTCACGGAGATATGAACTACATAGGTCTATCAGGGTTTGCCTCAGATTAATTTAAGCTCTGAAGGAGTGTCTGGCTGAACTGTGACTGTGCTTGGTCCAATGTAAAGAAACTTGACACTGAAAGACTTTGGTCCACTCTTGCCTATGCAGGCACCTTCCTGTAGAAGTTCCCTTCTGCTTCCGTTACATAAACAGAGCAGATGGGAGCTGGATGAAGGGGTAAAAAATCAACATTCTTGTACAGTTTTCACATGTTGTCTGCATTCTGTCCTATACTGCTTAAATTTTTACATAGAAAAAGTATCATAAATAATGGATGGAAGTTCAGTTCTTAAAGCTCAGCTCTTTGCTCTGTATCCTCTGTCTTCTGTGTAATTCAGCAAAGCCAACTACATGCAATTTTTATTTTTCCTTTATATTTTCTACAGATCTTAAAGCTGCTTTTGTATAACTGTCATGTCATCAGGGGAAAAAGGGAAAGAAGCTAACAATTGAGAGTTTTGTGTGATGGTTCTCAAAGCTCAATCAGAGAGAAAAATAGCCAAGATAGGCTACAAGATATTTGAAGGATGTGATCAGACGTTAAAAAAAAAAAAAAAAAAAAAAAAAAATCTGTCTCTTAGCTGCAGCTAGCAGAATGAAATAAGTTACTATATTTAGTATCTTGGTCTGTCTCAATTTTTATTTCATCTAGTTGTGCTTTATACAGAATACTGCTGTTGGTGGCACTAGAGTAGAGATGGTGAACCTACAATCTGAAGTTGTGCTGTACTGTGCAGAAATATGTGGCACATCAACAAGTATTAAAGACGAGAGAAAACTTGAGCTTCATCATAAAAGTATCTCCAGATTTCTTACATCACAGAGTTGTATTTTCTTTCTATTTCCCCGAAATCTGGGAGTTCTTCATTTGGTATTTTAATGAAGAAAATGAGGAGTTGCATGTTGTGATTTTTGGGTTTGTCCCTGTAAGTTTTCATTTTAAAAAGAGAAGTTAAAGGTTATTTCAGTGAAAAATTGTATCCGAAGTGTAATAATCTAAATTACATAATTGATGGTTGTTTTTTTTTTAATTGTTTGCTATGCTTGTAGTTGTTCTTTGTTTTTGGAATACAGCCTTATTTTTCTCCTATTTCATCAGAGGAGAATGAAGTGCCAGCAGGCCATGTACCTAGCTTCATCTCGGAATGTGTTCTAGAATGATTATTTTCTACATTTTGTAGTTGTATATGTGAGGTGAGATTTTAATGACTAATCATCTTCTACACAGTAAAATTTGCTGGAGGTTTTGTGGCTTCAAGCTTTGAGGTGTATGAATGGTAGCTAAATTTTCATATTTATAGTGGTGGTTGGCTGCAGAATTTTTTTTTTTTTAAGATTATGACAACATCTCAATAGACAAGTTCGTCTTGTTTTTACTACTGATTTCATTTTTTAAAAATGTAAATATTATTAGACTTCAAGTGACCTGCTTGCTAGGCTAATTTCTGTAACATGATAGAAACATGAGAGATTTTTCATTATCCTGGTTTCTGTGATGCATTTTAAGGTGTAGGAGTTAAAAGGAATACTGACATGCCAGTCTCAGTTAAGTGAGAGACTGTGAAAATGTGAATAAGAGAAACTAATGTATTTTCCTCAAAATGCCAAATTGCTGCTTAATCTGAGTTTAATCAACCTCATAAGAAATCACTGGCACCAAACTTCACTTAGGTAATATAAAATTTTTATAGGAGAACAGATGACTGTTGCCTTCTGTAACTGAAGTTAGAAAGTGGTTTGTAGTTTCAGTAAATAATAGACTGAGAGGTCTCATACAAAACTATTTCTTTTTTTTTTTTTTTTTTAATTTTTGTTTTGTTATGTATTTGAATAATTTTGTAATGCAATGTTTATAGATGATATAAGTGCAATAATGGAATTTTTCTTTCATGATAAGCTTCTGCATCTCTTTGAAACCAGTAGAGGTGCATTAAAATGCAGAAGTACTTTCCACTGTGTGGTTTACCAGTTCAGCACAACAGAAGATGTGAAATACATTGCTATATTATAATCAAACTTTCTGGGAGGCACACTGGTATTGCCCTGTTTATCTGATGATTTATGGACTACATATATAATGGAATAATATATAAGTGGAATATAAGAACAGTAAAAATATCTGGAGTCTTTGAAAATATAGCAGACGTGCCTGTTTTAAGAGCAAAATAAAAGGGTTCTTTTAATTTGCCACATTCAGCAATGTGATCTACAAGACTTTCTATTTTCTCTCTTTCCAAAATCATTCTAATCTAAGTTCTGCTATTATTTCATATATTTAAGTAAGAAGCTAAAAATTAACATCTGGAATGCAATTCTTAGCCAAAAAAAAAAAAAAAAAAAGAATATTTTGCAATTATGTAACCATTGTAGATAATTCAATATCAATTGTTAGAACTCCAGATGAGTCTGAGAGCAGCAAAGCAGAAAACACATCAATGTTATACTTTTAATAGTTATCAGTGTGCATTAATAGTGATGGGATATATACTGATCTTAAATTTAAATGAAATCATTAGGAATCACCCAATAACCAAATGAGTTGTAGCACCACTGAAAATAAGATGCAATTCAAATACAGTATAGCTTAATCAAGAGAAACATAACTGAAACTAAAATTTAAAATTAAATCTGGAGTGACGATCAGAATACTGACTGAAATAACGCAATAAATGTAGAATACCATATTTGTAAGTCCTGCAGGAATTCCAACATGTGATTAATTGGAGAAGGTTGTTGTCTGGGCTTACTGGATACAGAGAAAAAGGGAAAGGTAGAGTTTCAAGACTATGGTGAAGTGCTGTACTTGCAGCTTGGAAAAGGCATGCTCTTTTATATGTTGTAAGGATGCTAATGCCTCAGAAGAAAAAGTTTGCACTTGTTCAGTAAAGCTCTCCTCTGATTCATCTTGAAGAACCTACAGAAGATTCATGCCCTCACCTGCAAAAGATCTATTTTAAGACAAAGCAATGTAAGTGGTGAATTTTTTTTTCAGTTTTGTGTAATTTCTGATCTATACATGGTGATCAATTCCGGATATTGCACAACAATTAGGGGAAAATATTCTTCCTCCAAATTATGGAGGAAGAAAGTAGAAATTCTACTACTTCTGTTCTCTAGAAACTCCAGTTTAGCTGTATATCTTTAGCAAGTCAGCTGGCCAGTGAGTTATGGATGTGCACTCTAATGATTGACTGCATTTGCTTTTCTTTCTAAGGACATGATTGAGTGTTCCTTCTTCATTTGTTTTCAAGTGCACACTGATGCAACATGTGTTATCTGGTTCCCCTT